CCACCCCCCGGCCCCCCCCCGCCCGCCCCGCCTGCAGCGCCGCGGCCGCTCCGGGACACGCTCTGGGCAGAGACGAAGCGGCTCCTCTGAACCCCGGGATGTACAGTCAGAAGGCGGCTCGCCCGGCGCTGGAGGAGCGAGCTAAGAGCAGTGGGGAGATCAAAGAGGAGCAGGCGCAGACAGGGCAACCCGCCGGACTGAGCCAGCCACCGGCCCCGCCACAGATTTACCCGTGGATGACCAAACTGCACATGAGCCACGGTAAACTTTAGGACTTCATTTTGCGCGCTCGGGTCCGCCTGGGTTTTATAGGCCATGCGGGGCAAATAAAGAAAAAAAACCTGCGGCCATAAATTTTACGATCCAGGCATCAATGGCTCGTAAAACTGTCCACTAAAAGGCTTAGAGGCTGTGTGCGCCCAAATTTACGACGACATAATTGGATCATAGGAACAAAACGTGTATAAAAGGCAATATTCAATTTTTGGGGGAGAGGGAGGGAGTTAAAAAAATAGAGGGATCTAAAGGGTGAGGAGCACGGGGCTCCAGAGTGGGGATCCCCCCGCGGGCTCCCTCCCTCCCCTGCGGAGCCCGCTCGGCTGGTGCTCGCGGCTCCGGAGGATTCCAGCGACTCGGGAGGGGCGGGAGGGGGGTCCCCGGTGCTCGGATCTCGAGGGTGCTTATTGTTCGGTCCGAGCCTGGGTCTCCCTCTTCCCCCCATCCCCCCTCAGCCCCTCCGGCCGCAGAGTGAAGGCAACGGTGGAAAGTTTCCTGCCCAGGCGGAGGCGCTTCTCTCGGGGTCGGGCCTGCCTGCCTGCAGCCCTTCTGGCCTGTCCCACCGCGCTCACCTCCACTTCCTCCGACCACGGGTGGGGGCCTGGGACTGGGGTGGGACGATGAGGTGCTGCATGGTATTCACCCCTTCCTGGCTTGGGGGGATTTATGTTCCAGAGACGGATGGCAAGCGGTCCCGAACCAGTTACACGCGCTACCAGACCCTGGAACTCGAGAAAGAATTCCACTTTAACCGCTACCTCACTCGCCGCAGGCGCATAGAAATTGCCAACAACTTGTGTCTCAACGAGAGACAGATCAAGATCTGGTTCCAGAACCGCAGGATGAAGTGGAAGAAAGATTCCAAAATGAAGAGCAAAGAGGCTCTTTAGAGGAAGCGGGGAGCCCGCAGAAAGCACCCCAGTCGGCTTTGGTCCCTGTGCCCTTCCTTTTCGGTTTTCCTCGTTCTAGATTTTGGGGCGGAGGCTGGAGCACTGGCTCCAGGCCTCCCAAACAAAAGCGCATTTCCTTGGCATTCCGAATCCCCTTCGACCCAGGGTTCCGCAGGACCGCCTGCACTGCCCATCTCGCCTCAACTCTGTTGAGTACCCCAGGCCCAGGATACACTCTTGTAGGGTTTGCCCGCAGAGCTGCGGTGTTCTACCGGCCGATGCTGGATGAGCCTCAACCTGGGCTGCCTCTCTCTCCTAGCCAGAGCTAGGCCAGCCTGAGTTAAGGTGAGACAGACCAGCTGCCACCCCTTAGCCCCGACCTCCACCTCACCCTCTTTGTTTCTGCCTAAGGTGGCCAGGCCGCTAAAGGCTGGTTGTACCAAGCAGAAGGTATGACCAGACTCGGGGTGCTTTCCTATAGCAACTAACCTTTATAGCTTCTAAACTCGTCTTTACTTATTAATGATTTGCATATGAAAGAGGGAGATGAGTGAAAGTGGGCCTGTAGACCTGGAGGTTGTCCCATGCACTCCAGACCTTCTAACCCCCTCCCCAAAACCCGGGAGCCTCCCCAGCCTGGCCTGCTGCATGCACTCTCAGGTTCACAGCCCCAGCCTGCTACCTAGCTCAACTATTGGGGTCTCTTGCCTTAGGACCCCAGCAAGTGGTTTTTAAGGCTTTTTTGCTATCCTATATATCTTGCCATGACTTTCTCACCCTCCTGCCCCATTGCAGTGCAACTATTTATTGACTCCAGGTCCTTCCTGAAACTATATTTTGTCATATCAAATAAAGACAAAGAAAGAACAAGACTAAAGATGCAATGACTTCTGTCTGTTTAGGGCATGCATTAAGTAGATGGGTCTAAATAGGCTCTGAAGTGTATGGGGAGGTCCAGTCTTTGAACCATCCCTTTAAAAATATTTTTAAACACTTCCAGGAGCTGCAAGCATAGGGAAATGTAACTGAGTTCTAACGAGGGCCTCTGGAGTGAAGGGGAGGGTACTTGAGGGTGCTTGTACTGGTGTTTCTTCATGCTGTGGGTATCTAAGGCACCCAGACCTTCTATGCCCTATTCTTACCCTGACTAAAAAGACTTGAGGCTTCTGGACTGTCTGTAGTCTGTACTTAATGCCACAACATAGGAACCAGTGGCTCCCACGACTGAGATGTGGGCCCTTCTGGGTCTCAAGATCTCTACTGGGTCTAGGTCATCTCTGAGTGGGTTTGCTGGACATAGAAGGAAGGCTGAGTTTTCAGTCTAGGGCCATGTCTGACCCCAGAAGGACTCCCAGCAATAGTTGGTGCTGCTTGGTACAGAGGTGTGGAGGAAGGGGAGTTGGCTAAGGTTTGAGATGTGCTTCAGCTTTCTAAGATATGGGATAGGGTGAGGGGGACTAGAAGGAGAAGGAATGCAACCTGCACTGTGTGCATTCTTGCCTAGGAGAAAACATACAAACAGCTCCCTTGGTTCTAGGGTCTAAGCCAATGAAGGACAGTTAACTGGAATAAGAGCTGCAGAGACCAGTGTGGGAGTCATGTCTGTTTGCTATCATTTATCACAGTCTCTGAGATTTTGTATGGAGGGGGAGGGGGCACAACTAATTCAGGTGGGGCTGGCCTAGGTTTATGCTCTGCTCAGCTCCACTCCAGGCTCCTGGGATGGGCTGGAGGAGGAAGTACTTTACAGGAGAAACAAATGTGGGATGGGTCCATAAAACTTTACTGCATTTCCTCTGCAGCCTCCCACAATGGGGTGATTTCCTGGAGCCAAGCCTAGGCCCCCCACACTGGAGGTGTGGGGATCTGAAACTGGGCTAGGGGCTGCTCTATACTAGGACAGAAAGTGAACAAAGTGGCTCTGGGGAGGGGCAGGGATATTTCTTTGTATAATTATTAATCCTGATGCTCCTTGGATTATTAAAGGGCTGACTTCACTGCATCCCACATTCTAAGCCATTGTGCCTGTGAGTTTTAGACCCAAGAGCCTGTCCTCATGCTTAGCATGTAGGAGGTCTCAGTGAGTGTTTATTGAACTGTACCCATCACCTCCCTTCCCTTCCCTCTGCTCTGGCAGGGTTAGAATACTGATAAAGTCTCCCCTCAACTTGTACCCTGCAGGCTGGGCAACCCAGCCCTAACCAACTATCTTCCTCTCCTCTTTCTCTTTCTCCCTTTCTCTCCCTCCCTCCCTCCCTCCCTCCCTCTTCTCTTGCCCCCTCTACACACACACACACACACACACACACACACACACACACATAAAAAGTGCGATTTTCTTCAGGGAGTTAGTTTAATTTTTTCTACATGCTGAGTTAAACTATTGGGTGAGCATTGAAGTGTGAAGAAGTGCTGGCGGCTCAGATGGGTAACAGTTAAGTAAGGAAAAGGCTATGGCGCCCACACTCACCGGTTCCAGCCTCCCAGGCTTCAGGAAGCCCTGTGCTTTCTCCCCAAGGGGACACATCAGGGCTTCATGAACCAAGGGTTTGATGGAGAGGGAATAGGAGAGATACTGATCCGACCTGCCTGGCAAAGTTCACCAGCCCTTCTGTGAATTGTTTGCCTCCTCCAGGCAGGCCTGAACTTCTTATTCCCTGGAGGAGCTAGCTGAAGGACTGTCTCAGCTTGCCCAGGCTTGGGGGGAAACCGTGCCTACCAGCTCTCCTCCTTTCTGTCACAGGCCTGAGCCCCTGTCCAGCCACAGCTCCAGCAGTGCTGCTGGCAGAGGCAACCAGGACATAAGTCACAAAGCCAGAAGCCTCAGACCTCTCCTGCACTGAGGGTGAGTGAGGCCTAGAAATGTACTTTCTCTTTGACCAGAAGCTTAACATCTATCCCACAAAGCTGCCCCTGGACCAACTTTCAAGTTCCAGGGCTTAATATTGCTCTGGGAGAGTAAATGGAGGGGCTCCTTGGCCCCCAAAAGTGATAATAGAGCCAGAGCCCACCTCTCTACTTTGCCCTAGAACCCACCCACTCTGGCAGCAGGAAAGAAGGGGAAGAATCATGACTTACCTTCCGGGGGAGTGGGAAGAGGGGACACGTCCCACTCTGAGCAATTAGAGAGGAGAACAAAATAGGAAGAAAAATATCAACACGACCTCGAAGGCATCAGGTCCTTCTAGAAATAAGTAAATAAATAAATAAGGATCCACCTTCTCCCCCCCTCCCCGCCCTGCAAGGGATACAGGGGAGGGGCAAAGGAGCAGCTCCAGGGCTTTTTAGTGTAACTGAGCATTAGAGAAATAGGAAAGGCTTCTATGTGAATTTAGGAGTTTGAAACTTTTGGAGGTTATTTATGTGAATGGCCTGAAGGCAAGCCCGTGAGTGGCTCTTGGGGGACCACGTGATGTCATTAAACCAAGTTTTATGGTGTAGGGAGAGCTGACAAACCCACAATATATTTACATCATATATAATCTTAACTGTCCAGCCACGCAGCTGCTGGTGAGGTTTAATGCTAGGACAGAGGGCCTGGCAGTTAGAGGGGATTACGGCGCTGGGGATGATGGTGAGAGAGGTTACATCTTCGCAAATGATTCCCAGGCGAGATCGCTGTAAGTTAATTCTCTCCCCCTTTCTCTCTTTCAGGCCCTTTCTCTCATTAACCTAATTCCCTCCCTTATTTTAAAGGAGAGGATTCTCACTCATTAAGGGGAAAAACAAAAAGGCCTCCTTAGACTTCCTCAGGCCTGGGTGGGAGAAGAAGGGGAGCTGCTGGGATATAGGAAGATGGAGAACCTTGTATCCCTAGATCAGGCCTCTCCTCTGCAGCCTTCATTCTGCTTGGCTGCTAGTCAGCTGGGATAGAAAGAGGCATTGCCTCTTCAGAGTTTTGCAAGGTCTTCCTGACCCTCTGTGGGTTAGGAAGAAAGCCAAGCCAGAGCCAGAAACATGGCTGTTTGGTTGTGGTGTTCTACAAGCCCTAACCATGAGGGCAAAGTGCCTCTGGGGTCTCCTGTTCCACGGAGAGGCCAGTTCATCTCTTGGTCACTAGCCAAGAGTACATGCAGGGGAGAAAGCTAGGGAGGAAGACAGGGAAGGACAGCTTTGTGACTTCTGCACGTACAGGCTGCTGCTTGGACTGATCTCAAAGCCTCACCCCTAGGCCTGGGTAGGCAGCTACCCCAGCCTCCAAAGTCCAGGGCCTGAGTGTGTCTGGGGCCCTTAGGATTCATATCTTCCCTCAATCTTAGCTACTGGGCCTCCTCCAGCATCCCCAGCCTTGCCTAGGTAAAGCTAGGCCCTGGAGACCTGGAGGTCTGTGCTTAGTGTGAAGCAAATGTCTATTGGATGTGGTTAAGCATGGAGGCAACTTATTTGCTAGGCTCTGGAAAGCCCCTTACCTAGGGGTGGGGAAAGAAGAGGATGTGGCTCCCTAAGGAAGGAACTAGCAGGACCCCGGTTGTGCAAGGCACCCCGGGGCTCCCTTCAGGTTTCCATGGAAGAGTAGCAAAGGAAGCAGAAGCAGGAGGCGTGTGCTCATAACACCTGTGAGGTGCACCTCCCTGGGTAGTATGGGAGCTAATCCAGAACATGACTTGTGAACTCCCGGGTACTTGCGCACTGACTGGCAACAGGGAAGGTTTACACGGACTGGAGGCCAGCAGTTTCAGGAAAGGGGGAAGGGGGGAGCAAAGGGGCCAACCTTCCTGAAGAGAGGACTGCAGTGGGAAAGGGGTCTGTGCACCTGCTTTGTGGAGAGATGCAGTTGTGGGAAGCATGCTGTTAACACAGTCCAGGGAGCCCTACTACAGAGCAGCACAGCACGAATCAAGTAGAGATCGATCACTGGGCAGATTTGGGGGAGGGCAGAGGCCCAAAGGCAGAGGGAGGCTAAGCCAAGAGCCAACTTTATTACATCCTACCTGTGCTTAAACTCTCAAGCGCTAAAAGCTCAGGCCCTAACCTGGAGGGTCCCTCTGTTGGCCTCTCTCAGGACCCCGATCTTGCTGCCTGCACCCCCTTGCCCCACCACCAAGGACCTTAGACTCTGCAGAAGAGCCTTCAGAAGTTTTCCTCCTTAGACTCTACCCACGCTCTGCCCTCTTCCACCTTCCACTGTCTGCTCTCCCTCCAACTGTCTATGGTTTCGAGCGTTTCTGGAAACTTTCTGAGCCAAGCATCAGGAAGATGGGAGTTTCTCTGGGTGCCTTATGGGACTCTTTCCCTCTCCACCGCCTTAGTGGAATCCGGGGGGTCTTTAACCAAGAATTTAGTCCGAGCCAAAGCAGCACTCCCTGGTAACACTCCAGCGTCCTCCCTGCCCCACTAATCTCAGTCCTTTCTCTGTCTGAGTAGAGAGCGAGATGAGGGTGTCTCTGTGTTTTATGGATTTACACAGCATCTCTTGGGGGCTTTCAATACTCCCCCTTAATCTTCAGGCTCAAAAGTTCCATTTCAGTATCTTTCCTTCTTTTTTTTAACAATAGTTTCTCTCTCCCTTTCCACGCTTTGCTTTGGTCAGGTAGATATATATGACTCTGTGTGTGTGTGTGTGTGTGTGTGTGTGTGTGTGTGTGTGTGTGTGTGTGTGTATTTAATGTTTTATTGGTCTCACCTGGAAATGGGGAAATACAACAGGGAGCTGAGATTCTTGGTTTTCCCACCGTCTTTTCTAGCGAATTTGATGTGGGGGATGGGTAAACAATCGGATGCCAAAGATACCCTAGCCTACCCAGAAAGCTTTTAATTTTGTTCCTAGGTCTTTAACCCCAGAAGAAGCAAAACAACCAATCAGAAAAGTGTTTAGCAGAGTCACATGCCCCCACCAACCAATCAGCAAAAAAGTGCTTGGATCAGTGTCTGGATCTG